ATTCTAAAGAAATACATGAGTAACAAGGATTTAGAAAGAAAGGCAAGTACGCAAACTAATCAGCAAGCCTGTTACCGTGTTAATACAAGTTCTTTCATCAAAAGAATCACCCTACTACGTAACTCTAATTCACTAATTCAACTCCTTTTATGCACTGACTAGTATTACCAACCATGTTTATGGCAACTTTCCACTTTTGTTACAGCCCTTCTTCATATAAACAGTTGTGCATGAATGCGATTGAACAGCAAGAGATATTGGATTCGCCTAAATGAGCCTCTTCACTGAACTACGTGTTTTGTTTATTATTACTGTTCGCAGGAAAAATTTTCATGAAATGTTAAATACTTCAATTTAACACTGAAGGTGGGGTTATTTACTTGAGTTTATGGATGAAATATGTACCACGTTAACCTTTTCGCTCAATAAAATTGCTAAACACGAAACACAATTAAAATTAGCCGACAGTTTTAGACATGAATGTTTGAAAAAAATGTTACTTCAGCTTGAAAGAAATATGACAATGAGGTCTTAGCAATTTAACCTCCTTAAGCATGAAGTCATAATGGTGTAATATCTGTTGTAATCATCTGTTTTATAATTTGGAGACTAAACGTCACATGGCAAATGTTCTGCGTATGAATTATTTTACACTGATTGATCATAGTAATATATATATATATATTTATTTGAAGCCATTTGAATGGTAAATGACTCACATTAACGCGTTTCTGTTGGATTGTTATTTCCTCACTCATTAACTTTTCGGAATTCCCTGAATAAACAATTGTCTTCCTTAGGATGATGTTTCACGAATCAATATGTTCATACTTACTGGGGATCTGATCTCTAATTCAATAAATTCTAGATCTTTTCCATACCCTTGTTAAATATCCCACGTTTCAATGTTAGTCAACCGGTCATAATTTTAATAGTAAATTTCCCTCTATGGTAGTCAAAGTAGTACTATAGAAACACAATATCTGTCAGTTACATTTCGATACGAGATCAGAGAAGAAGGAAAGTATTCATAAATAAGTTTTGAAAAAAATTCACAAACGATCAGGTTGACTTAAGCAAGTTTGAATTCACTGAGTGAATTATCAGTAAGTTTTCTTACATTTATTGTTTTTATGATAGTTTGGTGATACTCTGCTGACCATAGGTCTTTGTTACTACATGACAAAATATTATTCTTATGCATAGTTGATATTGTTCTTATGTTTGTATATTGCGAACTGTATGCCCCTGAAAACTGTTCAGGTAAACCGAATGGGAGTCAGAGTATTACTCCTGATGAACGATGTCTTAATATTAGGGATGCATGTAAATCTATCCTGAACTGAATGGAATGATCTCTGTGGATTCCACTTCTATTCATCGCGACCCAAAATGATTTCACTTTAATGGTCAGACATTATCAAAGTGTCCGTACTAGAAACCAGTGTGTCCAACGTGATTGACTGGAAATGAAAGTCTTCATAAAACCAGATTTGACTGCGTTTCATTGTGATATACTTACACCCGAATTCGATAAATGTGAGGCCAAGTATCTACAGGTGTTACGCCGTAATTAATCACATTGGATGTTCCCGTGGTGTGCTGGTGACCGAATTGGAACTAACGTCATTTGATTTGCATCAAAAATGTTAACTGCTTTATAAATTTGCAGATGACAAAAGCGAACGTGAGAAGTAACCTGATCAATTTCCTATACACTGGATGTTGTTGTTTTGTGATTTTTAATATCTTCATAGTAATTATTCCCTAAATAGCAGGAGTCGTAATTTTGTAATTTTATCTATTCACTGTGTTTCTCATAATTTTCAATGGAGTGAAAATTAATCACGTTTAGTCAAGACAACTGACACTAAATAGGTGCACCATAAATGAACAATCATTTATGCATTACACCATAAAATGTTTGAGAGCTGATTTATTCCAAATTTTATAGTAACTGGTATTCCCATTACACTTCTCATCTCAATGGTTAACACGAGGGTTAGTTGAACAATAAAGTAATTGTCTTTACTGCTAAGACTAGTCGATTGTTTCTCCAGTCAATTTTGAGTGGTAATCTGAATAGAAGACAGTTGAAATTCGTTAAGTTTCCTATCAGATTTAGAATTTCATTTGATCACTGGAGATTAAGCAAAACATTTCATATCTGGTAAAAAGTCCTATGTCAAGGCTTGATACGACAGCCCAGTGCCCTTATATTCAAACTGTGGTGTAGTCGAATTAAAAGATAGTTTTTATGTAAGTAGATGAATAAGATGTATTATGAGCTTTTTATCATCTGATGCGCAATAATCCTATTTTATGAGAGTAGGTACATATGACGTATAAATTAAAGCTACTCTAATGTGCATGAAATTTATCTTCATTATCCCTTACAGTTACAGTGAAACCACTGTTGTTCACCGCATATACACAATTATCTTTTCAAAAACTGTTGACTGCTGCATCATAAATATAATAAGCATGTATTTCATCGTCTTCTCTCTCTCTATTCTTATACATTCGTTCACTCATGAAGTTAACAGTGACTATTTTCGTCACCTAACGGGAGATGTAAACATATTGTTTTGCGTATCAGTGTTTTTTCATGCAATGAAAGCGCAATCACAAATGATGGAATAGCTCAAGTGCTTTATGTCTGAAACAACGTCGGTTCAGTTATTATATCACTTGAACAATTCATTTTTAATTCCTGCGCTTTATATATCTTTGATTTGTAAAACAGAATGTTCCAAAAACACACAATAACTTAGTGAACACATCGAAGGAAATCCGTTGTATCACTTGGTGTGACAGACATCCAGTATACATTCGGAGGATGTGAATGAATGCCTTTGTAAACAAAGCAGTATTACTTTCCTATACAATCCTGAAGCTGTCCTTACTTGGAAACATTCGCCGAATGCGTTTTTTCAGATAACAAACTGTTTTCATGAGGCCTGATAATTTATACTTCAAACATAACTTTGCTGTTCATTTGTCAGACCATAGTATAATGTGAAAAGATTATTTGAATGTCTCCCATTTTTATCATTTGCTTCGATGAAAGTGTCTAATGTCATGCATAAAATATGTATAATCCTTAAGAGGATTTACTTGTATAGTTTAATGAATAGCTCAGCACAAATGCTTCTGACTTCAGAATTTTGAGATGTGTGTTTCACCTCAACATTGCTGATACGCCTTTTTGAGGAGTTCCAACAAACACGAAATGTGTGTCGAAGGACCTGCTGACTCCCCCCAGCCATCTAATAACAAAAATTCATAGTGAATATTCAGTGAAAATTGATATTGAACAGAAACGTGCGTACGAGTTGTGCATCTACAAAAGAAAGCAGGTTTAACCACCTAGACTGTAATCTGTTGGCCAGTCATGATATGCCCCACCAAAGATACACACCGAATTCAATGAGTTAGAACTATTTCAGATGTAAATAGTACTTAGAAAAGACATTCTGTGTAGTCACATGATTTTCTTTTACGTGGAATGAAAGGGGGAAAATAACTATTTGATTACCCTCAATTATCATATTCGCGTTTTTCACTTATACAAATATTATCTATGTGGTTTGTTCAAATGCATACAATTATCATATGCTTGATTTTGCCAAATAAACATTCTCTTCAGGGTCATAACAATCGATTACATTCTTTTGAATTTACATATAAACTACAACACATTTTATTCAATGGATTCCATGCTGTTGTCTAATTGTTACGTCATAGCAAAAAATTAGTTAACCAAGATTCAACTGTTTTGAGAAGCACCTTGGAATATAGTAGAATATAACCAAAAAAATAGGGTCTAAATCTATCGCACAAGAACGCTTCCGGTAGACAATTCAACGTCAGAATCGCTCAAACAGATTTACTCAAACAAAATCACGTTGTGCGACACAAAATAAGCATACACACAATGACACAGAGAAGCATTCGGATTAGAGATTAAACTGGGAAAAGTCAGCTAATGGGGTATCAAGTCGAAATATGACATGCAAACGTCATCACGACGATATAAAGTCTAGGAGAAAGAAGGATAATAATGGCAAAGTCAGTTAGGACACCCAAATAGATAAGAATATTGTGATTAAGTCGTTCGGGAGGCATTTGCAAATACATTTTTCATCATATTTCTCAAGTAAAATGTTAATGAATTATGTGAAAAGCAATGGAAAAAATGTTTCATTTCAATGGAAGACTTTTTAGAATTGTTTGGGTATTTTGATAGAGTCATATATTCAAAAGAATTTATTCACTAAGGAGAGGATAATAAGAATGTTAAATAGAGTTATTCTCATTCTGACTGATTTTCATTGATGAGTCTAACACGACTTATTGCTTTTACCAATTATTGTGGCAGGAATTTTGTCTGGTGCCAGAGGATATCAACAATAAATCATTCTGGCGAGGTTGAAGTATACACGCCTTTAAGTACATATATATATATAAACTTTTGTTTTTACGCGGCTGGGATGTACACCTATTCACCTGAACACTGTATTCATTTCTGTGTGTGTGACTACTTTCCATCATTAATATCGGTTAAATTTTATGAAACCTACAGAAAACTCATAACTTCCTCCGAGAAAAATTCTTAGATAAACCTAAAGATGAGAAAGTTGTGTAATATATACAATAAGTGTCAAACTTTTAACAATATTATTACACTAAAAGCCACTGGACCGTAACGTACATTCAGGAAACTGTATACTTTGACAGTTTATCATTCATGATAACTGTAATATATTGTCTGAGCAGCTTCTACCGCTTAACTTTTAGTTCGACAATGGATAGAAATTCTGATTATATTTTCAGGCTCTCCGGCCAATCATTTTCTTAGTTGATTAAAAGTATGTTTCAGAGTCAGATGATGCACACCTTATGAATTCACCAACCATACAAATGCATTATCCGCGAAATTTCACTTGTCTGTCATGTACACATGCTCAAGTCATGTGTGCACTAATTTACTTTTGTGTCTTTCACGTCAACACAGATACACACGGATTTAATTAATGACAATATACATTTAGACAATCAGCTATATAAAGCAAATACACATTTGTCTTATGAAACGATCATAGCATTTTTAAGCGAGGAGATGTTTAGGAGACTGTGGTTAACTGCCGTATTGTCATTCCTATTTTGTAAGTTGGTATTTATGTATACAATGAGTAAGTTGATGGTTTGTGAAATACAGCAAATTTGTCGTTAATTCAGGGAGTTAAATCCACCGACTGTGGTATATTACTTTCATCACATTATTTGTTGTATAAACTCCACATTTTATGTCTTTACCAACCTTTTTCAGATGTCATTTATTTGCCATCATGCGAATCAGCGGCGCTCTTTAAATGGCTTTGTAAGCTATATTAATTGATTTTGATATCTTAGCATAATTTAATCATTTTCAATAATTTATATGGATAGACTGTATGATCTCTTCATATTACCATGGATCTTCATTCGACATATTTAAATTGTAAACTACAACGATGGCATTAAGGACATTTGTTTCTTCTCACTCATTTTATGTGCTGATACATCTATAATCCATATACAGTTATGGGAAATACTCATAAAATAACTTATCCTTTAGTTTCACACAGAATTTTTACTAATAATGACTCCTGAGTTTAGCGGTCTCTCTTCATGAGAATGACATCCATGTAGACACTTTCTATTTTGCAACCTATCTCATTCAGTTTGCGCAAATGCGATTCCTCCTACGTCAGTATCTTGAAAATTGTAATAATAGTTGACTATCTGTCCAATAATGCATTATTTTTCAAATTGTCTCGCTTTACAGAATTTGAAAAGTTTAAGTTCACCTGTTAACCATTTGAAGTCTCTACATTGTTATTTATCAACTGCTGATTGGTGTGACTATCGATTTACCACTATTGATTTGCTTAGAAACAAACTGATATATTTATGATATATGATACATGTTTTAGTATCTCGAAGTTGAACAACACACTCTAGGAATAGCACGAATTCTTTTTTCGTCAACTGAAACAAATATCTATATATCTTAAATAGTTAGGCGGAAACATTTTCCGAAAATATCGTTGCGTTTAAAACTGGCTTCAACCAAATCAGGCCACACTCAACTGCTTTAGTTCTGATATGTGTACTTAGTCACAGTTACGAATTTTCGGCATATAATATTTTCAGAATTATCAAAGAATATCATTAGAATCAAACTATATCTCCATATTGTGTACTTCTGAAATACTGTATGATATTTTTTACACTTCACAGGTGCATTGCTCAACATAACCTGGTTGTGTAACGGTAAGCTTCTGGAAGATTTTAGGCAGTTTTACGTTTTATATTGGTTCGGCAACGAGGTGGATGATTTTCAGGTCAGGTTGATATTTTCGGTGAAGTCGCATTGTCTCAACTCAGGGTTATAATTACAAAGCTTTCGTTGTCCATTTGAAGAATAATTTCAACAGAAACTGGTCTTACTGAAAATAAACCAAATCCTTCAGTTTTTATTGGGAGTTGGGAGAAATTCACTTGTAAAGTAAGAAGCTGTATATGATATGTTATCCTTTTCTACGGTGATTGCCTACAAACGAGGATCTGCATCTTGTTTGTGTAGATCAGTTGGCGATTCTCAATTCATTTATTGATTCCATACTCTGACTCGTGACTTTGATTCATATTCTGATGAGCAGCACCAAACATTGTAATAAATATTATAACTATTACTATATCATTCGATACGGCAAAGATTTCGTCTACGTCAATAAAGTCATTTCCTATAAGATTTGTCGTTAATTTACATCATGGAGAAGGTATTGAAATTTCCCTGGTGTAGTAGCAACGAGCAGCAACATCTCACTCACTTTATTGTACACATTATCGGAAATAATTGATTGAAATATAAAGAAGCTGAATCATCGTCCGAGTATGACCTAAATCAATATTTTGTTTTAGAAATTCCAAATTATGCGCACTACGTGGTAAGCCGATATATTTATTAATCTATGCTTTACTCAAAGTTGAATAACACATATTTCTTCTCAGAACTCGTGAAACGACTTCCCAGTATTCTTATTTATCATAAATGTAATTCTTTTCTATATAAGTGACGAAATGCAACCTAAAGTAGTTTCTGACGTCAGTCATACTTTTCGATGCAAAACAATGTCACTGAAATTCAAATTATTGTCGTTTCGACAAAATGAATTTATATGGCATTGTTCTGAATTTGTTGACTGCTTGATTTAGTAGATAAGAATAGTTATTTGAACTACTATTTCTGACTGTTCATTTCAAAGGAGGGCGTGGAATATTAGAACGTAAGTCCTAGTGATTAGCTATTTGTGTAGATTTTTTACCACACTTATGTTCGACCAATACTGATTATATGCTTCGGGATTTTCTCTTGTTCTTATCGGACTGTATGAATTTCAGGAATACTCAGGTAAATTGATCCAGATGAAAGTGATATTCTTCTTGGAACACAATGTTTGGAATATAAAGTCTAGCAAAGAGGTTGTTTTCGATGAATCCTTTTCACTTATTGACCGCATTTGTATACCATTTATATACAATCCCTTTTCCGTGAAAATCGGTAGTAGTTCAAGTGATGGGTTGTCACGAACACAGTTTCTAAATGGGATGAATAGTTTTAACGAATAACCAGTAATCATGATGTACATAAAAACAAAGGAAAATATAGTATTAGGTAAGAGTTGTAAGGAGTTAGAAACCAACTAATCAACATATCTATTACCATACTAGTACAGGTTCATTCATTAAATGATTCACCCTGCTACGTAACTATAGTGCGCTTATTCAGTCCCTTTTATACACTGAATAATATCAACAGCAATGTTTATTGCTACTCATCACTTTTGTTACTACCCTTCTAATTGAAAACAACCGTACATAAATGTGACTGAATAGCTAAAAAAATAGATTCACTTAAAAGAGCCTCTTCTCTGAATACACGTCTTGTTTATTATTACTGTTCGGATGAGACTTTTTCATGAAATGTAGAGTCCTTCAAATGAAGATTGAAGTTGGGGTTACTTACTTGGGTTTAGAAATGAAGTATATGCTGCGTTAACGTTTTCACTGACTGAGGTTGCTAAACACGATAATAGATTAGCTGACAATTTCAAGCAAGGGTGTTTAAAACGAAAGTCTCTTCATCTTGAAGTAAACTTGACAGTGAAGTGTCAGCAATTTAACCTCATTCAACATGAAGCCATAATGGTGTAATATTTGTTATAATCTCATATTTTTAGCCTTAAATCAATGAGGTATGTGGCACACTTCCTATGTATGAATTCTGTTATACTGATATTGTTCTTATGTTTGTACATTGGGTTTTGTTTGCCTTTGAAAACTGTTCAGGTTAACTTAATGGTAGTCGGTGTATTATTCCTGATGAACGATGTCTAAATATTAGGGATGCATGTAAATTTATCAGATGACTCCTGAACTGAATGAAATGTTCATCTCGGATCCCACCTCTATTCATCACGTTCGAGAATGACTTCACTTAATACTCAGGCATTATCAAAGTGTTCGTACTAGAGATCAGTGTGTCTACATAGACTGAGAATTCCGGTCTAACATGATCACCATAAAACTCAAATACGACTGCGTTTCTTTGTGATTTACTTACACGCGGATTCGATAAACATGAGATCAACTATCTACAGGTGTTGTGCAAGAAATGATCATATTAGATGTCTCATTGCTTTCCTGTAGACGAAAATAAAAGTGACGTCATTTTGATTTGCATCAGAAATTTTAACCACTTGATACAAATGCAGACGAAAACAGTGAACGTGAGAACTGACGCAATCAATTTCATAGACACACGATGTTGTTTTTAATATATTCAGTGATTTCGTAAAGTTTCCAACATTCACACAGTAATTGTTCCTTATATAGCTTTCGCAAGGGTAATATGTTTGTAATTTTATCTCTTTACTTTGTTCCTCCTAATTTTCATTGGAGTGAAAATGAATCGCGTTTAGCAAAAACAACTGACACTGTTATTATCCTGATAGGTGCACAATAAATAAACAATCCTTTACGCTTTACACCGGAAATGTTAGAGTGCTGATTTACTCCAAATTGTATAGCAACTTCTATTCTAATTACACTTCTCACCTCATTGGTTAACACGGCGGCTTGTTGAACAATGAAGTAATTATCTTCAATGTTAAGATTGGTCGATTGTTTCTCCAGTCAACTTTCAGTGGTAATCCAAATAGAAGGCAGTTGAATTTCTTCATCTTCTAACCAGACAGGAAATTTTATATGATCACTGAAAATTCAGCAAGACATATTATATCTGGTAAAAAAGTCCTATGCAAGGGTTTTATACGACAGCCCAGCGTGTTCATCATATTGAAACTGTGTTATCGTCGAAGTAATAGTTAGTTTTTTATGTAAGTAGATGAATAAAATGTAATATGAGCTTTTCATTACTTGGTGCACAATATTATCTTTTTGTGAGACTGCGTACACATGGTCTGTAAATTAAAGCTACTCTAATGCGCATGAAATTTACTTTCATTATCTCTTTCCTTATAGATGACAGTGAAATCACTGTTATTCCCTGCATATGAAAAATTAACTTTTCAAAAACTGTTGACTGTTTCATCACAAATATAATAATCATGTAATTCATCGCCTTTTATCTATATATTCTTATACATTCGTTCACTCATGAAGTTAACAGTGACTATTTTCGTCACCTGAAGGAGAAGTTAACATACTGTTTTTCATATCAGTGTTTTCATCAAATAAACGAGCAATCAAAAATGATGGAATTTCTCAAGTGTTTCATGTCTGAAACAATGACGGTCCAGTTATAATATCACGGGAAGTTATAATTGATTTACCATAATCGATTCATTTGAAATTCATCGGCTATAAATATCTTTGTTTTATAAAACAGAATATTGTAAAAATACACAATGACAGCCCTGAAACAGTGGACAATTCGTAGAAATCCGTTGTATTTTTTAGTGTAACAGAAATCCAGTATACATTTTGAGGATGTGAATGAATGCCTTTGAAAACAAAGCAGTATTACTTTCCTATGAAATACTGAAGCTATATTTACTTGGGAACTACCGCAGAGTGCGTTCTTTAAGATAAAAACTGTTTTCATAAATTCAGTTATTTGACCGATAAGTTACAGTTCAAATAGGATTTCGTCGTTTATTTGCCACACGATAGAATAACATGAAAAAGATTCTTTGAAGGTCTTCTAGAATAATCATCCATTTCGATGAAAGTGTTTAGTGTCATGCATAAAATATAAACAACCGTTAAGAGGATTTACCAGTATAGTTTAATGCATAGCTCAGCGAAAACGCCCAGTGTGTTTAACCTCAAGAGTGCAGATACGACCTGTTCAGGAGTGCAAACAAACATCAAACATGGGCTGAAGTTTTCCTGCTGACCCCTTCATCAATCTAACAACAAACTTTTATAGTGAGTATTCATTAAATCCTGATTTTGAACAGAAAGGTACGTACGAGTTGTGAATCTACAAGAATTCGCAGATTTTACTACCTAGAATGTAATCTATTGACCAGTGTTGATATGCCTCACCAAATGTGCACACCAAATTCAATGAATTAAAAACATTTTAGATGTGTATAGTACCTAGAAAACACATTATGTGTATTCACATGATTTTCTTTGAAGTGGAATGAGTGAGAGAAAATAGATATTTGATTACCCTCACTTATCACATAAGCGTTTTTCAGTTATACAAAGACTGCTTTGATAAAGTGCATACATATATTAGATGTTTTATTTCGTTAATTAAACTTTATCTTCAGAGTCATAATAATCGACTACATTCTTTTGAATTTACATATTTGCTACCACACGTTGTGCGTCAGTGGCACAGGGGTTAGGACGCTCGCCTACCATGAACATGTTCCGGGTTTCGATTCCCGACCGACGAACTCCTTTACCTCGCTGAGCCAGAATTATTGCTGGTAAAGAGGAAAGTTTGGACATGAGGCAAGCAACCCCATCCTGTAATAATAAACACTGCTACAGAAACTTCAAGCCACTAGCTTGAAGCCCTATATTCCACTGGGAACATGAAAGAAAAATTTTTTTTATTTTCTTTTTATTTATCACAAGTTGAATTTAATGGATTGCACGTCTTTGTCTCACTGTTTCACCGTGATGAGTTATCCATGGCTTACAATATTCCTGTTATCTCGAAAACAGAAGTTTGAAATGAGGCATAGGAGTTTTTTACATTTTTGCTGGATTTTGAATGACTCAGACTATACGTTGGACAGTCAACTCATTTTAATTTGCGGAGAGTCAAGTTAGTTATTATTCACTAGTCCATAGAAAAGTAACACTTGTAATGAGGATTTTTAGTCTGAGACATTCCCCAGTAAGCAACTGCTTGCACACATTACCTTGTGATTCTTACGAATTCAATCTATTTCCCTGTATATCCGTTGTATTCAACATGGTTACTTGACTGATTGACTGGTTTCAACATAGAATTTTGCACCGGTGGTCAGGAGGCCGAGTAGCCACACTTCATTCAGCACACAAAGTCAGAGAAGAAGAAAGTAAAAAGGAATGCAAAAAAGAGATAATGTTGAGGCAAAAATTATAGTAATATCGAAGAACAGTATAGTTTTATTGAGTGCTAAAAGTCATCCAGAGTGGATTAATCTGCGCCATTGGGAAGATTATTGAGCATGCCATACCACCGATTGTCTCCAGCCATTGGTGTGTGCCGTTCCGACGACCCCCAGGAAGAAGTCTACATCTTTCTACGTGGCTTAAATACCTGTTTTGAATTTCACTAACTGAGGAGGCTATGTTTCGGTTTGACCACCACTGACTCTTTTCCAACCTGACCTTATTTCAGCCAACATTGCCCGTCTAGGAGAGCGACGGCCAGGATTGCGTAACACATTTCCTATCCATCTCAATTGATGTAACTTAACAGTATCATCGATTGATTTCCGAGGTTACCTAGAGTTACATGAAGTTAGTGCAACCCTCTGAGAAAATCTCGGCATAACGATACAATCTTATGAATGATGAGTCCATTCAGCAAACTTTTACAAGATTTCTAACACACGTGAAACTAGAATTCATGAACATTGCAGAAATATATCTGATTCAAATAAAAGTTCTAATTTTAGTTGAGTTTTTTCTGCAGCAGAAATTGTTCAGTAATTTGTAGAAGTGCTAACTAAATTCATAATGGCTAAATAACGCTTCACTATTTTTAAACTGGAATTTTGCAGTGTTTCATTGTTGTGATGAAGAACTTTCAATTTCAACTTCACTTTTGACTTTACTCTATATGGCGAATTTCATTTGTGCGATTTAATGGAGTCAGATCGGTTGAGTTCACAAGATGGATGGTGTACTCCAACGCGTCCGTGCACTACAACAACGCGATGATTATCAAAAGACGTTCAAAATACTTTATTTCAATGGAAATGAAGTGATCAAGGTGCTTGACTTCGCTGATGCTTGCAGTATGATGCGAAACCTGCTTTTAATTAAGTAAGCTGAAATGGTGTTAGTTTTCACTACATAGCTTCTTTTAACAACTGTCTGTGACAACCTATCACCTTTGTTACTACCCGAATTTCATTAACACCTAATTTCCTTGACTTGTATTACCAATCTTCACCTGTTTAGTTAACATAATCATAACCAATTGTAATTTTGTTTGACAAACTTAATGTTCACATACATACAAAATAACACATATACATTTACGATTGTACAGCTAAGAAAATGAATTCGCCGAAAAGAGTTTCTTCGCTGATCTTCGTGTTTCGTTTTCATTATTGCTTGAATAAGATTCTCCGTGAGATGCGAAAATATAGTGTAATATTGCAATTAGTCTACTGAATAATTCAATGAGCATTACATCATAATTGTGTATGTTGAACTATTCTAAAATATGTGACAACTGCTATTCAACTGAGAATATTTCTGCTTCATTTTTTCAGTAAATACTACGGTTGATCGTTGAGTAACGAGCTGAATGTTTTGTTTATTGTTATGCGAATGTCGACTTACTTATGCAGTTCCGTTTCAAGTGTAATCCCTGTTAATTTGAGTCTCCGTGAAACTAAAGTTCGAGTTAGCATTTTGGGCGTTCAGGAGGTTAGTTTACATTTTAAAAACATCAAAAGTGACTTTTGCATTTCAATGGCCGGCGATTGCATGCTAAAAGCGTAGTATCATATAAATTACAGTCTCTTAAGTCATCGGAGGAACACAAGTATATTCTATGTGCCGTTGTGCCATCAAGCCTCTGTTTTCATGACTTAAAGTATGCTTGGTCTTAATAGAGAAATCTGTGTACATTACCTTTTTGTTTCACGTAAAAATTAGGAGAACTTGAATAAATGCCTATATGAAGGATGATGTCGATCAACATTTATTCGCATGAAATATGCACTCTAGTTTTGTCAGCGCCTGTTAGACAAACAATCATTTCTATAAAACACTTTATCGGTTAACTCATTTTACCTCAACTCATGTCTGATATCTTAAGATTTAAAGAAAAACACCATTTGTCTGTTAATTTGGTGCTCCGCTGAGAATGGGAAACGATCAATAGTCTGTTTGCACCATGTATTTTTTATTGGATGGATATAATCTCAATATCATTCAAGGGAAGACGTCAAAATGAAATCAAGCCTAGAGCTCACACTGAAAGAAAGATCACTCCAAATATGTTTCATTTCTGATGCAGAGTGATGTATATTGTGGGCTTCCGTTTATATGTGTGTTAGAACATTTTCATAACTGATTTTTACAGTAAACTGCTAGTACCTTATCATTTAGCTAATTGGTAATTATAGCTATTTTTTATTGAATTTTCTGTTGTCACTCAAGAGCCATGAGGTCACTTTTGAATTTCTTCAAAGATATTTATCGCATGATCGATTGACAATCTAATTTGAAAGCGGAATTCATTACAAGTTTAGAATTCAATATTCGGTAGAAATTTCTATTATACAAAAGATAGTGCACAAGTTGTACACTTATGAAAGTTAAAATATTTTACTACTAAGATTGTAATTTATTTATGTGACTTGCAAATTACATTCATATTGGAAATAGATTCATCGTTGTGTGTCACTTAACTGAGGTAACTATTTTTGATTCTGATGGAATAGATGAAGAATTACGCTTTATGCAGAATGAATGATTCAAATCTCAGCAGTCCACTGTTCTCTAATTACCTCACACCTGGCACATTTGCATTTTACAGTGTCTAGAAAGATTCCGTATAATTATGAGCTGTGGCATTTTTTCAGTAATTTTTTTAAATCTGTTATTCTCAGAATCATCATAATCAATCACCTACTATTGGAGTTCTTTGTAAAGTGCCGAAAGTTGTATTTATTGGGACACAGATTGCACGTCTCCGTCTTATTATTTCTTTATGATGAATCTTATTTTATAGCTGGGTCGAAAGTGACATGACAAAGAGAATTAGTCGGCAAGTATTACATTAATCCGTGGATTCAGCATTGATTTCTTAATTAGACACTTCAGAAACAGAGATGATGAACGCCAGATGAATGCATCAACGAACAGGCAGGAAAATGCGTACAACGGAGAATCTGAAATTTTCAAAGGTGTAGTCGAGTTCCTGTTTACCATCTGCTGAAAAGGAATTTTTTGGAGTATTTCATCATAAGCTGACATCTGTTAGAGAACGAAGAATGCTCATTTCGATAACTTCATCATCAGGATGTACAGTTATATATACATATATATTATAGTGAATGAATTAGTGCTATTAACGGCGTTAATTTTTCAACGACATAAAATCAATAATATATAAGTGGATTACAGTTAAACAGAATAAAGTATAATTATATTTCAATAGGATATATGGCAAGATAAAATTGCATGAAGAGAGATATCCAATAAGATCGATTGTAGACTTCAAAGACACACTAACGTATATGTTATCTAGATTTCTCTCGACAATACTAAGACCGACAAGAGACAACCCAAAAGCTAGAATAGTAGATTCATTTGAATTAGTGAGGTGACTAAAAGCCACTAAAATAGAGGAAGATGAAATAGTAGTCAGTTTTGATGTAAACAGTCTCTTTACGAAAATACCCATTCAAATGGCCATGAATGCACTGAGAGAGAAACTAAAAGAAGATAATAGCCTGAAAGACAGAACACAGTTATCCATAGAAAAGGTAATAAAAGGGGTAGAATTCTGTCTGATAACAACGTATTTGACATTCGAAGGAAAAATATACCAACAAAATCAGGGAGTAGCTATGGGATCGCCTATCTCACCAATAATAGCTGACATATTCATGGATTATTGGGAAGAGAATGCCCTCAAACCATTCAGGTCATCAATGAAATGTTGGTGGAGAGACACACCAGTAATGGTGAAAAGAAACGATACTGAGAAATTTTTCTCACACATAAACAGTCACGTCGACTCAATAAAATTCACTACGGAATTAGAGAATGAAATTGGAGAACTGCCTTTATTAGACTGCAAACTACAAAGAATGACAGATGGTAGCAAATAGAAAAACCACACACTCTGGAAGATTCC